TCTTTTAGAGTTTTGTAGTTTCAGGTCTTATGTTCAAGTCCTTAGTTTATTTTCACTTAATTTTGTGTATGTTGTAATACAGTTGTCCAGTTTTATTCTTTTACATGTGGCTGCCCAATTTCCCCAACAGCATTTGTTGAAGAGACTGTTCTTTCCCCATGGTATATGAGTGTTCTTGATCCCTTTGTTGTAAATTAACAATCATATATGCTTAGGTTTCTTTCTGGACTCTGTTCTATTCCGTTGATTTATATGTCTCATTTTGTGCCAGTGTCATACTGTTTTAATTATTTTACGTTTGTAAAATAGTTGAGATTGGAGCATGATGCCTCCAGCTTTGTTCTTCTTTCTTCAGATGCTTTAGCTATTTGGGGTTTTTCATGGTTCCATACATGTTGTTCTATTTCTGTGAAAAATGCCATTGGAATTTTAATAGAGATTGCTTTGAATCTGTAAAATTCCTTGGTTAGTATGGACATTTTAACAATATTCTTCTAATCTATGAGCAGGGAATGTCTTTCCATTTATTTGAATCTTCAATTTCTGTCATTAATGTCTTGTAGTTTTCAATATACAGGGCTTTCACCTCCTTGGTTAAATTTATTCCTGGGTATTTTATTCTTTTTGATGCAATTGTAAATGGGATTGTTTTCCCTAATTTCTCTTTCTGATAGTTCATTGTTAGTTTATAGAAACTTAACAGATTTTGTATATTGATTTTGTATCCAGAAACTTTACTGAATTCATTAGATCTAACAACTTTTTGAGGGACTGTTTAGGGTTTTCTATATATAATATTTCACCTGCAAATAGAGACGGTTTTTTTCTTTCCAGTTTGGATGCCTTTCATTTCTTTTTCTTGCCTTTTTCTTGCCCTAGCCTTGCTCTGCCTAGAACTTCCAATACTATGTTGAATAGAAGTGGCAAGAGTGAGCATCTTTGTATTGTTTCTGATCTCAGGGGGACATTTTTGAGCTTCACCATTGAATATGATGTTTGTTTTGAGCTTGCCAAATATGGCCTTTATTATATTGAGGTACGCTCCCTCGATACCCAATTCATTGATAGTTTTCAGCATAAATGGGTATTGAATTTTGTTGGATGCTTTTTCTGCTTATTCAAAAACATACATGGTTTTGAATATTGAGATGATCGTATGATTTTTATTCTTCAGTTTGTTAATGTGGTGTATCACACTGACTGGTTTGCAGGTGTTGGACCATCCTTCCATCCCTGGGATAAATTTCATTTGCTCATAACATATGACCCTTTTAACATATTGCTGAATTTGGTTTGCTAATACTTTTTGAGGATTTTTACATCTGTGTTCATCAGGGATGCTGCCTGTAATTTTCTTTTCTCATGGCATCCTTGTCTGATTTTGCCATGAGGGTAATGCTGGCCTCGTAAAACAAGTTTGGAAGAGTTCCCTCCCCCGATTTTTCTTCTTGGAATGTTTTGTTGAATTTACCAGTGAAGCCATCTGGTCCTGGCCTTTTGTTTGTTGGTAGGTTTCTGATAACTGATTCAGTTCATGATATTATTGTAGTAATTGGTCTGTTCATATTTTCTCTTTCATCATGATTTAGTCTTGGTAGGTTGTCGGTTTCCAGGAATGTATTCTTGTCTTACAGGTCCTCCAATTTGTTGCCGTATACTCATTTATAGTAACGTCTTATAATGATTCCTTTGTATTTTGGTCATATCAATTGTAACATCCCCTCTTTCATTTCTGATTTATTTATGTCCTCTCTTTTTTTCTTGATGATTCTACACAAAGGTTCACCAACTATGTTTATTTTTTTAAAGAACCAGTTCTTAGTTTCCTTCATCTTTTGTATTGTCTTTGTAGTCTCTATTTTATTTACTTCTACTTTAATCTTTGTTATTTCCTTCATTGTACTAACTTTGGGTTTCATTTTTTTCCCCTATTTCCTCCAGGTGTAAAGTTAGCTTATTTATCGAGGCTTTTTTAGTTTCTTGAGGTAGGCATTTATTGCTCTGAACTTTTCTGTTAGAACTGCTTTTGCTGCATTCCTTCAATTTTGGTATTTAAATTTCCACTTTCATTTGTCTCAAGGTGTTTTTCAATTTTCAAAAATGGTGTTTTAAACCATTTGTTGTTCAGTAACATGTTGTTTAACCTCTCCATATTTGTGAATTTTTCATTTTCATTGTGTTGTCAGTTTCTGGTTTCATACTGTTGTCTTCAGAAAAGATGCTTGATATGACTTCAGTTCTCTTAAATTTATTAAGACGATCTGTGGCCTAACATATGATCTATCTTGGAAAATGCTCCATGTGCACTTGAGAAGAATGTTGTTTTGGATAGAATGTTCTGAAATATCTTTTAAGTCATCTGGCATAACATGTTGTTTAAGGCCAGTGTTTCCTTAATTGATTTCTATCTGGATGATTTGTTTATTGATATAAGTGAGGTATTAAAGTCACCTACTATTATTGGATTGCTATTGCTCCTCTTAGGTCTGTTAATATTTGCTTTCTATATTTAGGTGCTCCTATGCTAAGTGTATAAATAAAGTAATCATTGATAGGTATGTGCTTATCGCATTTTGTTAATTGTTTTCCAACAGTTTTGTAGTTTCTCTCTTCTTTTGCTCTCGTGGTTCGATGACTTTCTTTAGCCATATGTTTATATTCCTTTCCCTTTATCTTTTGTGTATTTACAACAGGTTTTTGCTTTATGGTAATCCATGAGTATTATTACATGTAACAATGTATAAATATTGTATGTAAGTCTTTTAATTTGTTAACAATTTAAGATTGATCTCATTGTAAAGTTCAATGTTAATACTCTCCCTCCCCTACATTTTGTTTGGAATGTCACATTTTACATCTTTTTATCTTGTGTGTCCCTTAACTAATAATTGTAATTGTAGTTTTTTTTACTTTTATCTTTAATCTTTCTACTTGCTTTTGTAATCCATTAATCCACTACCTTTGCTATATATTTTGCTTCCCAGGGAAATTTATTCTTTCACATGGGTTCTTGTTATTAATTAGCACTCTTTTTTCCCTCAACTTAAGGAAGTCCCTTTAACATTTTTCTAAGGCCAGTTTAGTGGTGATGATCTCCTTTAGCTTTTGCTTGTCTGGAAAACTCTTTATCTCTCCTTTATTTTTATTTATTTTTTAAGATTTTATTCATTTATCTTTTAAGAAAGGGGAAAAGAGAGAGAAAGAAAGGGAGAGAAACCTCAATGTGTGAGAGAAACATCAACCAGCTGCCTCTCGCAGACCCCCAGCCAGGGACCTGGCCCATGGCCCAGGCATGTGCCCTGACTGTTGTGGCTCAGTGGGTTGGGCATCATCCTTCCAACCGAGGGATCACCAGTTCAGTTCTCTCCTTTATTTTGCTGGTTAGAGTATTTTTGGTTGGAAGTTATTTTTCTTTCAACACTTTGAATATAATCATGCCACTCCCTTCTGACCTACACAGTTTATAAAAAAGTCTGATTGTCTTACGGAGCTTCCCTTGTACTTAAGTTTTTCTCTAACTACTTTTAATATTCTCTCATTATCTTTAACTCATGACATTTTCATTGTAATTTGAGTTGGTGTGGATATCTTTGGGTTCCTCTTATTTGGACCTCTCTGGACATCCTGGATCTGCATATCTATTCCCCAGTTTAAGGAAGTTTATTTTGTGTTTTTTTTTGGGGGGGGGGGGAGTCTGAGTTTTATCTTGTTTGTTTATTGGTTGGTTGGTTTTGAAACATTTCTTTGTTTCTTCGTGTTGCTTGATTCTGTATTGGTTTCTATGCCGTAGATGAAACAACCTAAGTCTCGAAGAAGTGGCTCGTATGGGAGGTGAACCTTGTCATTCGTCCCTGCCCCAGCTCTTGGTTGTCTCCATCTTTGGACTTGTCCAAGCAGCCTGTTGCATTTTCAGTAGCTCCCAATAGTTGAGGATGTGACCAAACTGGCAGTGCCTGAAAAGGGAAAAGTCTCAGCACCTAAATTCAGGCTTGCTAGAAGCTAGGTACTCAGGAATCCACTTCTAAAAGTACACAAATATATACAGTCCTGTGGGACTGCAAGCATGTATCCCACTGGCCACCAAAACCAGGCAACCTGGAGGTGTCCCTTGGGTCGCAGTCCCAATAATCAGGACTGCAGAAAAGTGTATGAGCTCTTTTCTGGGTGACACCAGCAAGCTGGAGTATGGCAGAGAGAGAACACCAAGTTGGCTTCCACAGCCTACATTTCTGGAGAGTGGCTCCGCAAGCCAGGAGATTCTGCCGGACCTGAAGTCTGCCCCTCATGCCAAAATCCAGGGCGAGCAAAGGCCTCCTTAAGAGAAAGACTCTGGGAGTGGGAGGTGGATACCTAAGTCCACTGTCTATGCAGTTTTCTGGGGGTGGTTGCCTGCCAAGTACCATCTCTTTGATTGCCACAGTCCTGCAGGGCCCCAGAATACAAGTGCCCTTGGCCACCAGAGCCATACAATTAAGCAGTGTACCCTGGGTGGCAGCCTCAAAACCCAGGGCCCCAAACGTACGAAATCCCCTCCAAAAGACACTGGCTTTCCGGAGCGTGGCAGAGGGTGAGTTTGAAGTTCACACCTGCCCTCTGAGGTCTCTGAAAAGGACTGACCCTTTCTTGATGGGAGGAAGAAAGACTTCCTGTGGCACCACTAGAATATCAGCAAATTTGGGGGCTAAAAGCAGCTGCATTTGGCAGGATTGGGCATCTCCTCCCATGTGGAGGATACACGTGGTGGACTGGGTGTGCTATCATCCTCCCCCGCCAAGACCTCGGTGGAGTTTTCGTTCCAGCCACAGGTATTCAGTAAAAGTGGCTGCTAAACCATGCATTATGCAGTCTGATTCAGCGCAGAGAGGGCAGTCTGATGGTCTCCTCACTTTGGGATTTCACTTGGGACAGTTTTCAAACTGGGTTTGTTCTACTGTTTTGGCTTTAGGGCTCATTCACTGCTTTTGAGTGAAAGGTGTCTTCCTCTGCCTTCCAAACACTAGGGAAGGATCGAATCATATTTGTGACCAAAGAAGACCATGAAACTCCAAGCAGTGCAGAGCTGGTGGCTGACGACCCCAACGATCCTTACGAGGAGCATGGTGAGTAACATGAGGCCTCCCAGGGACCCACAGACACGAACTGGGAGAAAGTTCAACGTCCACCTTTTTTTCCCCATTTTGTCCTAGACCAGGCAGGGTTTTCAGGTGTGCATCTCAGCCGTGGACCATCTTTCAGGACAATGAGTTTGTCTCCTTCAGACGTGTAAGGGACTGTTTTGGAGCCCTCGTTCTGATACACCTCCCTGGCCATTAGGCTAGAATCTAAGAGGTTCTCTTTACTGAAGTTTTCTGCCTCTTCTGAATTTTGGCATTGGCTTAAGCTGCTGGCTGGATGCTTCCCAGTGAGTAAGTTTTGGGAGAGGGTGTCAGTGGATTTGAGCAGTTCCAGATAAGGTAACAGGGATCCTTTATTTAATCAAGTTACAAGACTTAATTCTGCCACCTCTGCAGACCATTCGTAAGCAGGCATCCAAGAGCCACACACCTTGTTCTATGAGGTACTTTCCCCTTGTAGTTCTCCAGCAAGCACCTTGCTGGAAAAGCTCAGTTGAGATAGAGGGACAGCTTTCTAGCAGCAGGATTTAGCTAACCTAGTCAGAACTGTTCCACACTACTCAGTTAATGGTCACCTAGGGCATCACTCCAAAGGCTTTGGACTATTGGACTCACTAGGGCTTAACGTAGCCTGTGTAAAGCGGCTCTGTGTGTGCAGTATTCATAAATAGTCCATATATTATGAACAGTACTCACTTCACCAATCTAAAGCCTTTTCTGACATCCATGATGATAACTAACAAGCCTTCTAGTGCTGATTGGTGATTAATATGACATCTTGTAGGAGCTGCCAGTAGAATATGGGCTCTGGGTTGAAATTCTTCAAATGCTAACTGAAGTGTATCCTTTTTTTTTTTTTTAAGATTTAATTTATTTATTTTAGATGGGAAGGGAGGAAGAGAAACGTTAATGTGTGAGAGGAACATCAATGTGTGGTTGCCTCTTGCACGCCCCCAGCTTGGAGGCCTGGCCCACGACCCAGGCCTGTGCCCTGACTGGGAATCCAACCGGTGACCCTCTGGTTCACAGGCTGGTGCTCAGTCCACTGAGTCACACCAGCCAGGGCTAAAGTGTATGTTCTTAAGTAAGACACTATTTACTGCTCCTAAGAATTAGGATAAAGCTCAAAAGGCACGCATAGCACCCTTTGGAAATAGTAGGAAGTACAGACATTATACGAAGTGTTAGATTTCTGAGAGTGACAGCAACAGGAGGGATCTTGAGTCAACACTCATAAAGAAAAATAAATCACATGTGAATTCTAGTCCTTTGCCTGCCTTTAAGTCCACATTAGTTAAGGACTTTTCTTTAATAGATTGAACTCTGCGAGGCCTGCAGGACAAATCATTCCTTGTTTTGTCTGCCCCATCCTATTTTTATAAAACCTGAATGTGTTTGCCTTGAGGCTGTGCATTTCCCTCCATTTCCTACCACTCTTTATCATTCCTCTTGTTTTTTCTCCTACCTGCTTCTGTCATTTACAGTAAATCTGCTCAGATCCTATAAGTATTTGCCCTTGCAACCCCTTCTTGTGAATACTTACAGTGAAGAAGCATATAAAACAGAGAATTCTGGGACCTAGGTTCTGAACTCTCAATTGCAAAATTGCTAGTTTTAAAACACCCCATCTGAACTTAAGTTTTTGAAGTTACCATCCTTGTGTTTTACATTGTGTCCCTGAAGTGCAAATTGGCTTCATAGTGTTCTCTGTGAGGAACTACTGCTTTCTAACTCACCTTCCTCTGATAAATAATGATACAAGGACTCCTGCAGATCTGAACTATTACTTTTAAAGGTTAGTATTACAATGTTACCTCTTTTGGAGACTATTTATGCAGGTAGGTATATTAGCAGTGTTGAGCTTCCAGGGGCAGCGCTGAGATGGCCGTGAAGTCGGGAGGGGGGTGAGATGTCGAGCAGATGGGCCCTGGTAATCCTAAGGGTCCTGGCTATAGTCCTGACTTGGACCCCATTGAACCCCAGAAACCTCATTTGTAAACTGGGATGAGTAATACCCACTGCGGAAGGTCGCTGAAAGGATTGCACGGTTTACCACATACAACTCAATGCATAAGAATGTGCATTGTACCTGTCAGTGGTACCAAGGGTGGACTCCCTGCCGGTTCCCATTAATGGCCATCTCTGCTGTTAGTGAGTAACCGCAGCAGCAGATTTGTGGATCACTGAAGCTTCCTATGCTAGAATGAAGACGCAGGGTTCAGCCTAGGCCTAGAACTTTGGATACTAGCTCAGAGTGCCAGAGCTGTGTATTTCCCTGGAGTGAAAAATCAAATGTAATTTCACTGGGTACTTAAGAGTCTTTCTCAAAGTGTGCTCTCAGTCTCTATTGTCAACTTATGTAAGAGATTTCTATATGAATTGTATTTCCATCCGTGTCTATCACAAAGGTGAACATGAGCCATCATCTTAAAAGCATTTTAGAAAACTGGGAAATACTATTTGGATTTTAAGTTCTAAGATAAGAAAAAGTGTAAAATTCAAAAGGTGAAGGGGCCTATATAATATTGAAATGAAAATCTATCTGAAACCCTAACCCCTCCCTAACACAAATGTACAGTGTAACAGTTTGGTTTACATGGTTAGTCTCCCTCTAAGTTCTTCATATTTACAAGAATGGAACCACACCACTCTGGTATGCTACTAGCCCTTTCCTTGTAAAACATGTCTTGGACATCTTCCTAGTCAGCACAGAAGCATCAGCCTCCTCATTTTTACCAGAATTCACATGGTGTGTGGCTTCTGAGAGCAGCCACAGAGCAAGAAGGGCTTGAGAAGCAGGGCCCAATGGGTGGGGGGCAGAGATTGGAAGGAAGAGATCCATACCTCAGCTTTTTTTTTTTTAATATGTTTATTGATTTTAGAGAGAGGAAAGAAAAGGGGGAGGGAGAGAAACATCAATTGCTTTCCCCCCATACACCCCTCCAACCATGAGTTGAACCTGTAGCCTAAGTATGTGCCCTGACCAGGAATCAAACCCCCAACCTTTTGGTGTATGGGACGATGCTCTAACCAACGGAGCCACACTGGCCAGGGCAGAACCTCAGCTTCTTAAAGTGTTTGGGATTTTAAAAGTTTCTCATTAACCATTCAAGTGATGGCTTTTACTTCATACTAAATGGATTCCAGCATATAGTTCTTAGAGCACACTCACAGCACTGGGAGGTGGCTTAGAATATAGATCAGCATTGCACGTGGATAAAGTTGCCAGTGGTGGCTTCTCTCCAACTGAGCCAGGAATGCTGGCTTTGCCCCAGGCATTTGAACCCAATCTAAGGGGTAGGTCCACAGGCAAGGGCCGGCCAGGCAACAGTTTATACTGTTCACCTCATAAGTGGCCCGTGAAGACTGGACTTGGTTTTGCTTTTTCAGAGAGCATCTCTCACATTTTCCTTGCCCGTCTTCCTATTCCAGGATTGATCCTGCCAAATGGAGACATTAACTGGAACTGCCCGTGCCTTGGGGGAATGGCTAGTGGCCCCTGTGGGGAACAATTCAAGTCAGCCTTTTCCTGCTTCCACTATAGCACGGAGGAAGTCAAGGGATCAGACTGTGTAAACCAGTTCCGGGCCATGCAGGAATGCATGCAGAAGTACCCAGATCTTTATCCCCAGGACGAGGAGGAGGAGGAGGAGAAGGAGGAGGAGAAGAAGCCAGCAGACCCTTTAGAAGAAACAGCTCCCACCGAGGTCACTGCAGCCAAAGAGGAGGCGGGATCAAGCTAATGAAGGCCACGCTGCAGCCCTGGGCCCCAGGCCTTCCACCTCAGAGTGATACGAACCTTTTGCAAAATGCCTTTCAGTCATTCTCCAAGAAAGCGTCTTTTTCTCTATTGTTCTGTGCACTGTAATACAAAATAACTTATTTTGATGATCAGGGGTCTTGGCCTCTTGACATATACACTGAAAAAAAAAATGGGGTTATATATATATATATATGTTTGTCTCACATAATTTTATCTGTGAATGTAGCTGTCACTTTTGAATTCTCAGATAACCTCAAATTTTGCCACTTTGAAATAATGTGCTGAATATTCTCAGCAACCAAAAATCCTTATCTAGGAGTGTCTCTTATGAGTGAGCTGATTTATTCTGATTCATTATCCCCCTTTTAGTAGATTGTATACCAGTTCGGCAAATGAAATAGAAACAGAAACATCTTCCTTTAAAAATGCTGGAGTGGGGCCATTCCTCATACAAGAAACCAGATAATCAGATACTTATTTCTCAGAAACCATCTTGACCTTGAATATATGAGGAGGGTACTATGTTTCGTTTCTGATACATTTTGGTTTCCATTTTTACATTGAGCTCTAGGTGTTTCTTTTTAGAAGGTGGAGCTTTGGACCCTCCAATTCACAGTTCTTTTCTAAACGAAGAAAAAACTGGTTTTCGCTGTTCTTATTCCAAAAGCGCTGGTTCAGGGCTTGTGGTCACACTGGCTCTCTCTCAGCCTGTTCAGATGCAATATTCTTGAGAGGTGGGGACCTACTTGTTACCAAAGTAGCAACCAAGAAGAAAATGTGAATTAAGTGGTCAATTAAAAGAAAAACATGGTTTTTACCTGATTTTGAAGGTGTCCTTTTTACTAATTAAAAATGTTTTATGTAAGGGAGTTTGATCCAATTTTCTATGTTGAATTCATATCAAGCTGTTTTTTTTGTGAGCAGGTGCCTTCAAATAGACATCATAGCCCACGAGGTGGGGAAGGCTCCTCCCATTTGACGATAAGGAATTGGAACCCTGGCGGGTTAAGTAACTTGCCCAAGGTAACTGCGAGGTGGTGTTCAGGCTGTGATGTAGTGATCCTTCATTTGTGCCAGGTGTATTGGTTCTCTCTTGCTGTATAGAAAGTTACCTTGAAACAAGCACCTGTTATCCCACAATTTCTGCTGGTCAGGATTCTGGGTATGGCTTACCTGGGTCCTCTGGCTCAGCCTCTCACACTGTGATCCAGGTGTTGGCCAGGGTTGCAGCCTCCTCAAGGCTTGATGGGCTTTCAAGAATCACTCAGGTGGTTTTGGGTAGGATTCAGTTCCTTCTGGTTTATTGGACTGTGGGCCTCAATTCCTCACTGGCTATTGATCAAAGTCCCTCAGTTCCTTGACACATGGGCCTCTCCTTAGGTCAGCGCCCAACATGGCAGGTGGCTTCCATCAGAGCAAGATGGAAGTCAGAGCCTTTTCTAAGTTAATCTCAAATGACTTTCTCCCCCTTTACCACAGTCTGTTAGCAGTGAGTCACAGTCCTCACTCGAGAGAAGGGACACTGGGCATGAGAACCAGGAGGCTGCCTAACACACTAGGTAACAGCACATTAAAACAAGGTAAACAAGGTAACAGCACATTAAAGGAGGAAAGCACAGTTGGGTATGAGGAATTGTAGTGCTTTCTTTTTTTTTAATACTTTTTTTATTTGTTCACATATATTTGTCTTCATTTTCCTGCCACCAGTTTTGCCTCCCCCACCCACCCTCAATCCTTCCCCACCTTGACTTTGTCCATGGGTCCTTTGTACATGTTCCTTGATTTGACCCCTCCCCTTCCTTTCCCCGTTATCCCCGTCCTCCTTCCCCCTCGTTACTGTCGGTTTCTGTTTTCAATGTTGCTGGTTATATTTTTCTTGCTGGTTTGATTTGTTGATTAGGTTCCACTTATAGGTCAGATCACATGGTATTTGTCTTTCACCCCCTGGCTTATTTCGCCTAGCGTAATGCTCTCCAGTTCCATCCATGCTGTCACAGAGGGTAGTAGCTCATTCCTTCTTTCTGCTGCATAGTGTTCCATTGTGTAAATGTACCATAGTTTTTTGATCCACTCATTTATTGATGGGCACTTAGGGTGCTTCCAGCATTTAGCTATTGTAAATTGTGCTGCTATGAACATTGGGGTGCGTAGGTTCTTCTGAATTGGTGTTTTGGGATTCTTAGCGTATAATCCCAGCAGTGGAATTGCTGGATCAAAAAACAGTTCCATTTTTAGCTTTCTGAGGAAATTCCAAATTGTTTTCCACAGTGTCTGCACCAGTCTGCATTCCCACCCACAGTGCACTAGGGTTCCCTTTTCTCCACACCCTCGCCAGCACTTGTTTGTTGATTTGTTTATGATGGCCACTCTGACTGGTGTGAAGTGCTATCTCATTCTGGTTTTAATTTGCATTTATCTGATGGTTAGTGATGCTGAGCATCCTTTCATATGTCTCTGGGCCCTCTGTATTTCCTCCTTGGAGAATTGTCTGTTCAGGTCCTTTGCCCATTTTTTAATTGGGTTGTTTGTCTTCCTGGAGTGGAGTTGTATGAGTTCTTTATATATGCTGGAGATCAAACCCTTGTCTGAGGTTTCCTTGGCAAATATATTTTCCCATATAGTTGGTTCCCTTTTCATTTTGCTGATGTTTTCTTTAGCCATGCAGCAGCTTCTTATTTTGATGAAGTCCCATTTGTTTATTCTTTCCTTTATGTTCCTTGCTCTAGGGGACATATTGGTGAAAATATTGCTGCGTGGAATATCCGAGAGTTTCCTGCTTATGTCCTCCTCTAGGACTGTTATGGTGTCACGACTTAATATAAGTCTTTTATCCATCTCGAGTTTATTTTTGTGTATGGTGTAAGTTGGTGATTGAATTTCATTTTTTTGCATGTAGCTGTCCAGATCCCTCAACACCGTCTGTTGAAGAGTCTACTTTTACTCCATTGTATGCTTCTGCCCCCTTTGTCGAATATTAATTGACCATAGAGATATGGGTTTATTTCTGGGCTCTCTATTCTGTTCCATTGATCTGTGTGTCTGTTCTTATGCCAGTACCAGATTGTTTTGATTACAGTGGCCTTGTAATATAGTTTAATGTCAGGTATTGTGATCTCTCCTACTTTGTTCTTTCTCAGAATTGCTGCAGCTATTCGGAGTCATTTATGGCTCCATATATGTCATTGGTATTTTAATAGGGATTGTGTTGAATCTATAAATATCTTTGGGTAGTATGGACATTTTGATGATGTTAATTCTTCCAATCCATGAAGACAGTATATGCTTCCATTTATTTGTCTTCCTTAATTTTTTTTTCAGTGTTGTATAGTTTTCTGTGTACAGGTCTTTTACCTCCTTGGTTAAGTTTATTCCTAGGTACTTTATTTTTCTTGTTGCTATAGCAAATGGGATTTTTTCCCCCTGATTTCTGATTCTGATATTTCATTGCTGGTGTACAAAAATGCCTTTGATTTCTGAATATTGACTTTGTATCCCACTGTTTTGCCAGATTCACTTATTAGGTTGAGTAGTCTTTTGATGGAGTATAAGGGGTTTTCTATGTACATCCTCACACCATCTGCAAACAATGACAGTTTTACTTCCTCCTTTCCAATTTGGATGCCTTTTATTTCTTTTTCTTGTGTAATCACTGTGGCTAGGGTTTCCAATACTATGTTGAATAGAAGTGTTGAAAGCAGACAACCTTGTCTCATTCCCAATCTTAGTGGGGAAGCTTTTAGTTTTTGCCAGTTGAGTATGATGTTGGCTGTAGGTTTTTCATATATGGCCTTTATTATGCTTAAGAATGCTCCCTTTATTCCCACTTTGCTGAGTGTTTTTATCATAAATGGATGTTGTACCTTATCAAATGATTTTTCTGCATCTATTGATATGATCATGTGATTTTTGTCTTTTGCTTTATGTGATGTATTACATTTATTGATTTGCAAATATTAAACCATCCTTACATCTCTGGAATGAATCCCACCTGATCATGGTAGATGATCTTTTTAATGTATTGCTGGATGTGGTTTGCCAATATTTTGTTGAGGATTTTAGCATCTATGTTCATCAGCAATACCAGACCATAGTTTTCTTTCTTTCTTGTGTCTTTATCTGGTTTTGGGATTAGGATGGTGCTGGCCTCATAAAAAGGGTTTGAGAGTCTTCCCAATTCTTGGATTTCTTGTAATAATCTGAGAAGGACAGGGATTAGTTCTTCCTTAAATGTTGTGTAAAATTCTCCTCTGAAACCGTCCAGTCCAGGGCTTTTGTGTGCCGGCAGGTTTTTGATTACTGCTTCAATTTCACCAGCTGTTACCAATCTGTTCAGGCTTTTTGCTTCTTCATTCAGTGTTGGAAGGTTATATTTTTTTAGAAATTTGTCCATTCCGTCGAGGTTTTCAAATTTCTTGGCATACAGTTGTTCATAGTAATTTCTTAAAATCCTTTGTAGTTCTGTGGTGTCAGTTGTAATTTCTCCTCTTTCATTTCGATATCATTTATTTGGGTCCTCTCCCTTTTTCTCTTGATGAGTCTGCTTAAAGGCTTGTCGATTTTGTTCATCTTTTCAAAGAACCAGCTCCTGGATTTGTTGATCCTTTGAATTTTTCTTTTAGTCTCTATGCCATTCAATTCTGCTCTGATCTTGATTATTTCCTTCCTTCTACTCGCTCTGGGCTTTGTTTGTTGTTGTTTCTTCAGTTCTTGAAGATGTACAGTTAGGTCGTTTATTTGAAATGTTTCTGTCTTTCTTAGGTAGGCCTGTTGTGCTATGAACTTCCCTCTCAGGACTACCTTCACTGTGTCCCATAGGTTTTGAACTGTTGTGTGTTCATTTTCATTTGTTTCCAGAAACTTTTTGATTTCTTCTTTGACCTCATTATTGACCCATTCATTGTTTAACAGCATGCTATCCATGAATTTGAATGTTTTTGAGTTTTTTCCTTGAGGTTGGTTTCTAATTTCAAGCCCTTGCAGTCCGAGAAAATGCTTGTTATGATTTCAGTTTTCTTGAATTTGTTGAGGCTTGTTTCTTTCTTTCGAGCATTATGAAGTGTCCTTCTGGGTGTCTTTTTATGCCCCTGTTTTGAAATCTATTTTGTCTGATATAAATATTGCTACCCCTGCTATTTTTTCCTGTTCATTTGCTTGAAATATTTTTTTCCATCCCTTTACTTTCAGTCTGTGTAGGTCCTTTGTTCTGAGGTGAGTGTCTTGTAGGCAACATGTATGTGAGTCATGTTTTCTTATCCATTCAGCTCTCCTCTGTCTTTGGAGTATTTAATCCATTTACATTTAAAATTATTATTGATAGGTACTTATTTATTTTTTCCCTTTGTACCCTTATTCCTCTCTTTCTCACTCTTTTTCTTCACCTTCTTAAAGCAATCCCTTTAGCATATCTTGCAGTGCTAGTTTGGTAAAGGTGTATTCTTTTAGCCTTCTTTTGTCTGGGAAACTCCTTATTTTGCCTTCCTTTTTAATTGAGAGTCTTGCTGGGTAGAGCAGTCTTGGTTGCGGGTGTTTGCTTTTCATGACTTGGAATATTTCTTGCCATTCCCTTCTGGCTTGTAGTGTTTCTGTTGAGAAGTCAGCTGCTAGCTGTATTGGGACCCCCTTGTATGTTACTTTCTCCTTCTCCCTTGCTACCTTTAGGATACACTCTTTGTCTTTAATAGTTCCCATTTTAATTATGATGTGTCTTGGAGTGGGCCTCATTGGGTTCCTCTTGAATGGGAGCTCTGTGCTTCCGGGACTTGTGTGGATATTATTCTGTTTCAGGTTGTCCTGCATTATCCTAAA